CTTCCATTAACCCTCCTAGCGCCGTGAGAAACAGACATCACCATGGATAATCTAGACCAGTGGACCTTTTCAACCTTTTGCATTGAAGTCATTTCACAAATAATTTTCCAATTAAAGGGACTGTGGAAAACCTCATTAGAAATTTTCATTTTAACCCAAAACTCTTCCTAAATCTGAAGATGTACTGGGTTGTGAGCCAAGTCGTGACTCATTTATTCTGCAGAAAAGACGTAAGTGCGCCATGACTTCTCTGACACCGCGGCACGTACGTGAAGTGGGCAGCACCTCTTGTAAGCGGCTGCTCACCAAGTGCGCGTGAATCTGGTGCAGAACGTGTTTCCGAAGGTGCGGCTTACCGACCCGGCTCTTCTTTTTGCATCCGTTTCATCAAAATCTAATACTTTTGAAATAACGTGGCTGAACAAAGACCAGCACTGCTCCACAGCTGTAAGACAGTTCTGGTTTTAGATTTATGAGAACCAACAATGTGGGTCCTATGAATTTTTCCATTTCTGCATTTTCTATTTCCTTGAACCCTCTTTATATTCAGATTAGCCTCAAGCGTTTCTCCAATGAAGTAGGTGTGGATGGACAAGCACTGAAGGAAAGAAGCAGCACATCGTCCTACGCTCTTCAGCAAAGATGGTGAGGGCTGCTGGAAGCCACTGCAGGACGAGGCCCTTGCTGAAGAGTCACTACTGGAAACCACGCCCGTTTCTATTCTGTCCTTAGAAATCCAAGAGACTTAGAAATCACTGGACTCCCACAGGGCTGACCATGGTTTGAGTCCCGGACACAGGGGCTTGAAACTCACGCCAGGCACATGTGTATGCGTGTGCCCAAAATCCCAGGAGGAGAATGAGAGAGAGGACTGCAGTGTGGCCACCCTCCCCGGGGAGGCGGTTTCTATCTTTCTGTCTCTGACAAGCGCATGCACCCTATGGCAAAAATCTCTCAAAAAAAAGTTCAAGAAAATCCAGAGTATCATCATTCAAGGGCCCACAGCCTTTAAGATTTCACGTGCGTGCCTAATTCCGCCCCCATCATTAATGCCTACAATGCTTCCACCCGACTCCTTTCACTCACTTTCTGACTCGTCTAGCAAAGACTTCTCTCGTCAGTTGTTCGCTTTCCTTATAGGAGGAAGTAAAAATCAGGGCAGGAGGTGGCGAGGTTGTTAAGGAGGCGGGATCCCACATAGCCCACTGCAGGGTCCGAGTCCTGCCGGCCTGAAAATCACGATGGGTGCATGTGCGCATGCTCAGAGGCCTGAAGGGGAAAGGGGAAGGGGCTGTGGTGGGGCCCTGCTGCTTAGAGGTTCACTTCTCACTCTCCCTCTCTCTCTGGCAGGTGCACACACCCAATAGCAAAAAAATAAAAAAAAGTAAATAACTCTAAATTCTCATCTTTGTTTGATGAATACACAACCAAAAAAATTTACAAAAATGTCGTCTCCAGATTTCTTTTGTACCTTCCTAAAATAATGATGTGACAGTTTCCCTTGCGCTTCCATTAACCCTCCTAGCGCCGTGAGAAACAGACATCACCATGGATAATCTAGACCGGTGGACCTTTTCAACCTTTTGCATTGAAGTCATTTCACAAATAATTTTCCAATTAAAGGGACTGTGGAAAACCTCATTAGAAATTTTCATTTTAACCCAAAACTCTTCCTAAATCTGAAGATGTACTGGGTTGTGAGCCAAGTCGTGACTCATTTATTCTGCAGAAAAGACGTAAGTGCGCCATGACTTCTCTGACACCGCGGCACGTACGTGAAGTGGGCAGCACCTCTTGTAAGCGGCTGCTCACCAAGTGCGCGTGAATCTGGTGCAGAACGTGTTTCCGAAGGTGCGGCTTACCGACCCGGCTCTTCTTTTTGCATCCGTTTCATCAAAATCTAATACTTTTGAAATAACGTGGCTGAACAAAGACCAGCACTGCTCCACAGCTGTAAGACAGTTCTGGTTTTAGATTTATGAGAACCAACAATGTGGGTCCTATGAATTTTTCCATTTCTGCATTTTCTATTTCCTTGAACCCTCTTTATATTCAGATTAGCCTCAAGCGTTTCTCCAATGAAGTAGGTGTGGATGGACAAGCACTGAAGGAAAGAAGCAGCACATCGTCCTACGCTCTTCAGCAAAGATGGTGAGGGCTGCTGGAAGCCACTGCAGGACGAGGCCCTTGCTGAAGAGTCACTACTGGAAACCACGCCCGTTTCTATTCTGTCCTTAGAAATCCAAGAGACTTAGAAATCACTGGACTCCCACAGGGCTGACCATGGTTTGAGTCCCGGACACAGGGGCTTGAAACTCACGCCAGGCACATGTGTATGCGTGTGCCCAAAATCCCAGGAGGAGAATGAGAGAGAGGACTGCAGTGTGGCCACCCTCCCCGGGGAGGCGGTTTCTATCTTTCTGTCTCTGACAAGCGCATGCACCCTATGGCAAAAATCTCTCAAAAAAAAGTTCAAGAAAATCCAGAGTATCATCATTCAAGGGCCCACAGCCTTTAAGATTTCACGTGCGTGCCTAATTCCGCCCCCATCATTAATGCCTACAATGCTTCCACCCGACTCCTTTCACTCACTTTCTGACTCGTCTAGCAAAGACTTCTCTCGTCAGTTGTTCGCTTTCCTTATAGGAGGAAGTAAAAATCAGGGCAGGAGGTGGCGAGGTTGTTAAGGAGGCGGGATCCCACATAGCCCACTGCAGGGTCCGAGTCCTGCCGGCCTGAAAATCACGATGGGTGCATGTGCGCATGCTCAGAGGCCTGAAGGGGAAAGGGGAAGGGGCTGTGGTGGGGCCCTGCTGCTTAGAGGTTCACTTCTCACTCTCCCTCTCTCTCTGGCAGGTGCACACACCCAATAGCAAAAAAATAAAAAAAAGTAAATAACTCTAAATTCTCATCTTTGTTTGATGAATACACAACCAAAAAAATTTACAAAAATGTCGTCTCCAGATTTCTTTTGTACCTTCCTAAAATAATGATGTGACAGTTTAAAGCACAGTAAGAGAACTGAAGGGCAACAGAGGAGTGTCAATTTACTACTTTACGGACCTTCTGGGCGATCCATCACTCTGTTTTCGTACCGTTTTAGTCATTTTTAGCACAACGGAAAGTAACTTTGCAAATATTCCCTAGGGTGATAAAATAACACAATTTTCCAGGAAATATGAATAGTCGCTAAAGACATCATAATGCATTTTAGATTTATAAAGAGTCTAATGAAACCATGTGGTAATTACAAAGTAAGTTTTGCTCTATTAAACAGTTTTAAAATTTCTTGTTCTTTGGAAGACTTTGAAGAAAGAATAAAGGTTATACTCTGTCAACCATTACAAGGAACAATCCTCAGAAATTAAGATTGGGGGCCAGCAGGAGGCGTAGTGGCTAAGGCGCTGGACTCCACACGGCCTGCACTGCGGTCTTTCTCTTCGGTGCTGCTAGTGCTGACAATCCCTGTCTATTCACCCATAAAAATGCAGGAGCATGTTAATAACCCGACATCTCGTGGGTCTTGTCCACTGCCTTCCTACAGATCATCTATGTACGTGGCTGCGAACTCGCTGAGCAGAGCTGTTACTCTCACGGGCTCCCCGTTACAGTCTCCACAACGGAACGCACTCAGAACGACGAGAGGCCAGAGGCCTGTGGTACAGCAGGTGTCGGAGCTTACCTCACACTGATGGTGAACATCTCCAGGATGTCTTTTCCCAGTAACCAGCCGACCAGCATGATGATGCCTGGGACAGAACAAACAGTGTTGTCGCCTCCTCCACCACGCCACCGAGGGCGACGGGGCGAGAGGCCGAGGGCATCGTAGCTGCTGTCGCCTCCTCCACCACGCCACCGAGGGCGACGGGGCGAGAGGCCGAGGGCATCGTGGCTGCTGTCGCCTCCTCTACCACGCCACTGAGGGCGACGGGGTAAGAGGCCGAGGGCATCGGGAGCGTCTCTCCAGATGAGATGAACAGTACACATGTCACAACGACAAGGTTTTACAGCACCCCGTGACGCTAACAACCCATTACGTTTAAACGCTTACAAAGATAAAGCATGCACCTGACACACACGGTTTAACCTCTGGTGCCACCATTCCCACCCACCCCGCAAAGCAGTACCTGATAGCTCAAGAAAATACAACCACGTTTTCATACAATGGGAAGAAAAAGGCAGCATAAAATGTACAGGTATGTCGACTTTTGCCAAAGTAAACACTGGAACTTCAGTCTTCATAACTTGGTGTTCAGACCTTGCCTCTGAAGTCTGGGTTACATACAGAGGGACCCCAATCAACAAACCGTGGCTGGACTGTGAGAATTAAAACAGGACCTGTCTCCAAGAGTAATGCGCCTCACTGAGGATCCAAACTGCACCAACATTTAAGTGTTGCTACTGGGTCGTCGGAAGTCATGACACATTTTTGCACAGAAAACATCATGACTTTTACAATGACCCAATACATTTATGGCACTGAACAAAAAATTTTAAATTGATGAACATAAACGACATTTCCTGCTTTAGCCTTTCTTTAAAAATAATAGAGACTAAGGGGTCCAGCCAGAGGTGTCGTCATTATCTGGCTGAATCCCACGTGGCCACAGTCCAGGTCCAGGGCACTTCGAGCCCTGAACCAGCAGCTTGAAAAGCACCTCAGGCATGTGTGTGTGGGCCCAAAGTCTGAGAGGAGGGAGCCTGGCCCATGGCCCAGAGGGTGGGGACCTGGACCCCACGGTGCTGGCCAGGCAGTGTGCGTCCTGGCCCGGCAGCCGGAGGGACACACCACGCACATGGGGTGCGTGCCCAAATCCCAACAGGACTGAGAAATCAGGCGAGGCGGCTGTGTGCTGTCGCCCAGGAAGGGGCGTTTTCTGCCTCTCCCTCTCTGGTACAAAGAAAATTAAGTCTCGATCTGCAACTTTTTATAGAGGTTTTTGTCAGTGTGCCCGCGCAAAGAAGAGAGAGGATGAGACGGTGAGAGGAAAAGTGAGAAACCCCCCCAGGGGAGATGGCCACGCCGTACCCCCTTCTCCTCTCTCCTCCCAGGACCTTGGGCACGCACCACACGCACAAGCCACCGGGCCTGGAACTCAAACCACAGTGAGCTATCTGGGAGTCCACCAGCATAGCCGCCATGCCATCTGCTGGCTTCAACTCAATTCCACGTATTACCCTGACAAAATGATGCCGAACGTATCATACTAATCGTGGGGCCGGCAGGTGGCATGGTGGATGAGGGCACTGGACTCCCACACGGCTGCGTACAGTTCAAGTCCCAGACCTGGCAGCTTACCTTCTCACTTTCCTTCCCCCACCAGTCAAATTAAAATAATAAATAAATAAATTTAAATAAAATAACTCCTACACAGGCACACACACCAGGTACTCACAAAGCAGAAGCATTTCTATTACTAAATATGAGACAATTCTATGGAGTAGAGTTAGTAAAAACTAGAGAAGACTTCATTGGCTAGAATTCCCTTACATTTAATAAATTCACTATAGATTTTCTAGAAAATAGCCATAATCGAGTGAAAGGAACTGCGAGACACATACCACTTAGACAAAACCAACCTAATATCCTCCTACCTCCTGCTTAGCGCTTACAAAGGAGACCGGAGAATAACAGAGTGGACACTTACTTCACTGACATTCCCGAGCACAAAATCAGAGTTTCACGTCGACTTTACAGCAGTAAGCTAGCTAAATACCCAACACACTGAGACTAAGGACTCCAAAATCAAAGCACACATACAGTACGTGACGGAGACGCCGGCGCAACTCAGGGGTAAAGAACTGGCGGGGCAGGGCAGGCACATGCGTGTGTGTGTGCCTAAATCCCAACCGCAGGGACGGGACTGCATTACCACGTACCCCGCTGCACATGCGTGTGTGCCTAAATCCCAACCACAGGGAAGGGACGGCCTTACCACATACCCCGCTGCACCCCACTGCACATGTGTGTGTGCCTAAATCCCAACCACAGGGACGGGATGGCCTTACCATGTACCCCACTGCACCCCATTGCACATGCGTGTGTGTGCCTAAATCCCAACCACAGGGACGGGATGGCCTTACCATGTACCCCACTGCACCCCACTGCACATGCGTGTGTGTGCCTAAATCCCAAAAACAGAGAAGGGACTGCAATACCACATAACCGCCATTGCACCCCAGCCTGCACATGTGCCATCTGGCAATTAAAAAAAGATTAAAAACACACATTTCTTGAAATGAGAAAAGAAAAAATATAAATTATTTTCACATTTAGAATTACTCTCATCTCCAAGATACCTCACTACCTATGCAAAAATTCCAAAATCCAAAACATCCAAAACACTTCGGTCCCCAAACATTTCGGATAAAGGATACTTAACCTGCATGCACAGACATACACACAATGGGGTACGACCCAACCTGAAAATCGTTTTAGGTCAAAAGAGAGTATTTATAATAGAAAAACAAAAAACTGGCCTATAAAACAATGCTATCGGGACCAGCAGTTGGCATAGCAGTTACATTGCTGGGCTCCCACAGGGCAACCACAGGGACGGGATGGCCTTACCATGTACCCCACTGCACCCCACTGCACATGCGTGTGTGTGCCTAAATCCCAAAAACAGAGAAGGGACTGCAATACCACATAACCGCCATTGCACCCCAGCCTGCACATGTGCCATCTGGCAATTAAAAAAAGATTAAAAACACACATTTCTTGAAATGAGAAAAGAAAAAATATAAATTATTTTCACATTTAGAATTACTCTCATCTCCAAGATACCTCACTACCTATGCAAAAATTCCAAAATCCAAAACATCCAAAACACTTCGGTCCCCAAACATTTCGGATAAAGGATACTTAACCTGCATGCACAGACATACACACAATGGGGTACGACCCAACCTGAAAATCGTTTTAGGTCAAAAGAGAGTATTTATAATAGAAAAACAAAAAACTGGCCTATAAAACAATGCTATCGGGACCAGCAGTTGGCATAGCAGTTACATTGCTGGGCTCCCACAGGGCCGACCACGGTTCAAGTCTCAGACTCGGGGGCTTAAAATACTTCGATTACGTGTGCAAGAGTGTCCACGGGCCTGGGGGAGAAAGGAAGGCAGCATGGCCATCCTCCCTGGGAGGGCGACTCCTCACTCTCTCTCTGTCTCTCTCTGACATGCACACAGGAAGGCAGCATGGCCATCCTTCCGGGGAGGGCGACTCCTCACTTTCTCTCTGTCTCTCTCTCTGACATGCACACAGACCCTAAGGCAAAAACCTCTAAACACACACAAAAACTATCAGATTTTAATTCAGGACTAAATTCTAAAATGTATACAGAAATGCCAAATACAGGAATTATAGTGTTATATCTTTTCTTTGTAGAAAACGATAATGGCTGGAGGTTAGCTTTATAATACAAAAAGTATCAAGCTTTAAAAAAAGAAAAATAGGGGCTAGCTGGTAGCATGGTGGTTAGGGGCCCTGGACTCCCACCTGGCTGAGCACTGTTCAAGTCCCAGACCTGGTGGCTTGCTTTCTTGCTTTCTCTTTCTCTCTCTTTTGCTCTGATCAAATGAAAAAACTAACAATGATAAATGTAATCAAGGAAATCACTCTTTAAAAAAGAAAAACAAGTAATATCAGTCTAAGTCTACTCTTCGCACTCACAAAAGAAAACCCGAGTAAAAATATAATATACACATACTCACTCTTCTCTTACCTATTATACCAAAGGAGTAGAAGGAGAGCTGTTTCCCTAAGAGGTCCATGCTCTTCTGCAGAGGGGTCTTCGGTGCCTTGATAAATTGGAGAAGAGTGTAAGCACAATTCACTGAACTTACTAAGGCCTACCAATGCCAGGGCTCTGCTAAGTGGCTGACATACCCATTCCTACAGTAACCACAGAACTCTCCTATGAGGTAAATACAATGCATCTTCAAAAAAGCTCACAAAAAATATGTATTATGAAAACTATGCATGGTTTTCAAAGACGTTTTGCACCAAAATAAACTGGTACTTTGAATCTACTTTTTACAAACTTTCTGAAGTCCTCTTACACTATCACCACCACTATAACCAGAAACTGAGTCCTTTAACTTTAAGCAATGCCCACACAGGTCACCCAGTAAGGAATGAAAAAAATGTGCAATTATAAAAAGCCCATTTATCTAAAAAGGCCCCTTCTCCATATGATTCCCCCGGAGAACCACCTGTGCTTCCTTCTCCTAGCTTCCTCAGGTCTTCGTTACGGCCGGTGCTCCCTGGTCCGTTCCCATCTCCCCCGTACCCACACACACAGTGACCCGCCTCGTCCACGGGCTCCGAATGCTAACCCCGCTCTCTGGCCCCCGCTCGCTGCAGGCTTCTGGGAAGGGATTTCAACACCACCTCATATTCCAGAGTCCTGACAAGTTACCTGAGGAACCCAGAGGACTTAGGGACATCGCGGTATTTGGAAAATGCAACCCCCCCTTTATTTGTAACAACTATTTTAAGTGAGAGAACTCACCCTTAATACCCTTAACGAAAAACATCTAAGCTGTTAGGCTGCCAGGAAAGTCATGACTTTTTTCTGTGCTTTTCTATGCAAAAGTGCGTCACGACTTCCCCAACAGCCTGACACTTTCTACTCAGCAATCTTTCTCATCCTTACTTGGGTTACACAGAGCGGACCTTTGCTAAGGGACATGTCCTGGGGACAGCTGGCAGCATGGTCCCACAAGACTGCGCAATGACGCGTCCTAGGACCCAGCGGCCTGGAAACCCATCAGGCAGATGTGTGTGCCCCAAAGCCTGAGAGGAGAGCAGGGGACAAGGGTGTGCACCAGCCTCATCCCCCGTGAGGGGGTTTCTCATGGTCTCTCTCTGCTTCTGGTGAGAGCTCATGCCCCATAACTAAGCTTAAAAAAAAATGTTCTGCGGTAAAAATATACTAACTAGTATCCTTTAAATTACATGATAATGCCAATTTCTTAAAGAGAGAAAAAAGATCTATAAATAATTGGCGGGGCCAGCAGATGGTGTGGTGGTGAAGGCACTGGACTGCCACATGGCTGACTACGGTTCGAGTCCCAGACCTGGAGGCTTACGTTCTCACTTTCTTTCTCTCTCTTTCTTGTTGGATTAAAAAATAATAAAAACAAATTAATTCTTTAAAAATATTAAATAATCTGCTATAAACCTTTTTCTAATATACACAATTATTAAAGATTCAAATCTTTTAGAATACTGACAATGTGGATCCAGGTCCTTCCAATTAATAATAGAATTTCCAGTTTTGCTTTTACAGTAGTTATATTCTGAATAAACTATTGCTTTCAATAGTCATATGATAATCTATCAATTCTTTTCTCTACTTGCAGTGGAGAATTTCATATTTAAGACAAATAAACCATGAACACCTTAAGTACTCACTTCTTCTGCTTGCATCATTTTAAAAACCTCTCCAAATTCAGAATTTTCTCCTGTTCCAATGACAATGCCCTAAGAGGAAGAAATGGAAAAACGCATTTACTGTCAGAAAGAACCACCTGTCCCCATCAAAAACAAGAACAAAAACTTTTCATTCTTTCTTCAAAGTCTTACCTACAGTCATTACTGTAGGAACACATACACACTCAATGTTCCCTTAGCAAACTGACTTCACTTCCATTAATATTTAACCCTTGTGACACAAACCTTAGAAACAAACATCTAATTAAGCTTATCACCGTTCATTCTGGGGCCCATTTTTTGCCTTTACTGACACTTCTGAAAACTGAATCTTACACTCAAGAGACATCTAATGCAGTTCCTTTTCCCTGATCAAATGCTCCTGAGTAGCACCCTTTACACCGAGTGCAGGATCTAGGCAGTGAGGGCGTGAGCACGGTGTATGTAAGACGGAGCACATGAACACATTCACCACCTCTGACACGGCACGCTCTGTTGTGGACATTCGAGACCTGCTCTAATAGTCACCCTGCAGGTACGTACCGAACTGCCTATGACATTCTTTACTGCCACGTGCAGTTCTAGAGAAAAACAGATTGAAAACTAGGCTAGGACCAGCAGTTAGCGTAATGGCTATGTCGCTGGACTCCCAAGTAGTCGACCGCAGTTTGTGTCCCGGACCCAGTGGCTTAAACTCACACCAGGCACGTGTGCATGCTTGCCCAAGATCCCGAGAGGAGAATGGAGAAGGGATTGTGGCGTGGCCATCCCCCCCGGGGGTGATTTCTCGCTTCCTGTCTCTATGTCTCTGTCTGTCTGGCGAGCACACGCACCCTATAGCAAATAAATAAGTAAGAAAATCAGGCAACAATCTCATAAATTAAAAAAGATGATCTCAACAGCCAATGACACACAAATTTGTAACGTCCATGTAGAGGACTGTGGGAGATAAGAGTTAATGATAGGAAAAAATCTGTGGGTGTCAGTCACTGGTCCAGTTAGAGACAGGTAGAACTGCATACAACAGCTCAGTAGGGAGAGACAGAAAAAGGACGCTGTGAGTCTTGGCACTGTACTGTCTACCAAGAAAAGTCCTCGAAAAAGCAAGATCAAACGAAACTGGAAAGATGTTCAGAAGTGAAGACACGGTCAAGTCAGGGATTTGGTGATTTATAGGCTTATAAAGTGATTTTATTTTCCCTTCACATGTGAAGGGTAATCTTGCTGGGTATAGTATTCTTGGCTGGAATTGCTTTTCTTAGTTTTAACTATGTCTTCCCATTCTTCTCTTGCCTGCATTGTTTCAGCGGACAAATCCAGCGTCTAATGGGGCAACCTCTGTAAATAACTTGGTATTTCTCTTTTGCCATTTTTAGAATTCCCTCTGCCTTTGATTTTACCAACTAGGTTATGAGATGCGTGAAAGGATCTTCGTGTTCTGTCTACTTGGTATCCTGTGTATTTCCTGGATTAGGATGTCCTCATGTCTCTTTAAGTTTGGAAAGTTTCAGCTAATATATTAGGAAAAGTTTTTTCTATGCCTTTACCTATACCTTCACCTTCTGGATATATATATTATGTAGACATTTGGCTGTTTAATGGTCCCTAGGATTTTCCATATATTGTCCTCATCTTTAATGGCTATTCTGTTCTTTCCAGTTGCTTGGACTAAATTGGAGGTTTCCTTTCAAGGTCATAAATTCCTTCTTCTGCATGGTGTAATCTGCTGTTGATACTTTGGAGGGAGTTTTTGATTCCTCTTCCTCCCCCCGAGTTTTGCTATAGGGTGCTTGTGCTCACCAGAGAAACAGAGCGTGAGAAATCACCCCCCGGGGCGATGGCCATGCTGCAATCCCTTTTCCTCCATTCTCTTGGGATTTTGGGCACACATGCCCGGCATGAGTTTTAAGCTGTTGGGTCCGAGACTTGAACCGTGGTCAACTACGTGGGAGTCCAGCAGTTTAACCACTACGCCATCTACTGGTACCTGCAAAGTATTCTTTCTCTCAGAAGTTTTGTTTGGTTCTTCTTCGCTGTGTCTATCTCCTTATAGAGCTCCTCCTTCATGTCATGGAAGGATTTTCTCATGGTTTCCTGTCTTCCCTTGCACAGTGTTCAGTATCGTTACAGTGAGTATTCTGAATTATTTTTCTGACATTTCTGTGATCGCTTATATTTTACCCACTGTTGGTGAGGACTGATGATCCCTTGAGGGGGAGGTATTTCCTAATTTCCTCCTATTCCTTTGACTCTGAGTTTATTTTTAGTCATCTGGTGAGAGTGGTACGCTGGCTTCTCCCCACTCCTTTGGAGCTGTCTGTGGCTGTGTGCTCCTGCACCTCTGTGATACGTGTGAGTGCTGAGCCACTTCCCTCCTCTCCTGTGGGGGTGGGGAGTGGAACACACGGTGGGAGTGTAGGGTTTAGGTGTCAGAGGGGAGTTTCTCTCCTTTTACTGCTAAGGGAGCTCTAGGGAACACATTCCTCCAGAGTCCCCTAGTTTCAGGTGTTTAGATTTTGTACACCCAGCCTAACTGCTCTCAGTGCGGACGGAGGCTGGCTGGCGGGGAGCCGGGTGGCAGACCACGTCGCCGGTGCACCTGTGCACACAGGCCAGAGAGCCCCTCCCGCCCTGGAGGCTGGTGAGCTCCAGCCCAGCAGCTGGGTGTGGCCTGCTGGTTGGCCCCTGGCTCTGGGTCCCAGGGTTTCCCTCTCGCTCCTCCTTTTCCTGGGGTTGCGTGAACAGCTACTGGTTCCTGAGGCTGCAGCGCCGCTCCTCACCAGCAGGCTGGGCAGGGGCCCCTGGATGAGCTCAAGCCGGCGGCCTGGTTGGGCCTGCCTCGGGCCTGCCCGTGGGTCCTGGCTGGGGAAGGGACAGAAAGGCAGCCGCACTGTGGGCAGCAGCTCCGACCTGCTATCTCTGGGACCGCAGGGTCTCCCTGTTGCTCCTTCTTTCTCTGGGATTCTCACTACTTCTACATTAAAGAGAAATCAGGGGCCAATGGGTGGTGTAGTGATTAAGGTGCTCGACTCCCTCGTGGCTGACTGCCGTCTGAATGTTAGACCTGGAGGCTTGAAAACCACGCCAGGTGCATGTATGTGCATGCCCAAAATCCCGAGAGGAGAATGGAGGAGAAGGGACTGCAGTTTGGCCGCTGGCCTCGGAGGGCGATTTCTCACTTTCCCCTGCAGTGTCTCTCTCTTTGGCAAGCACATGTACACTACAGCGAAACACCTTAACAAGGCGGCAGGGGAGCGTTAGCGGTTCCAGCAGAACCAGCACCACCAGTACCACAGTTATCAGTAAACGGCAGAACTACGCACACGTTACACTTCAGGGGTACGGCTTCTCCCTAACCTCGCAAACGGAGGCCAATGATTAAATTCTACACCGGGTTTCTTCCTTCGTCATACATTTTGGGGAAAAGGCACACGCACGCACACACACACACAATTATCAGAAAACTGAGAAAATAGTTAGACACAAACATTTTTTCCAAAACAAGAGAACAGTCACCTTTGCTTTGCCACATCTGACCAGTGTTCCCATGAAGGCGATGTTACCTCTTGAGGCAAGGTCTCCATTAGTGGCGGCTGGCTGAGGAGCCGTCACCTTAGAACAAGGTGTTGTCTCCCCTGTCAAGCTGGACTCATCGATGGAAAGGTCCACAGCCTTGGGGACATAAAAGAGCATCTTGTGAATTCAAGTTTGCAGTATATTCGGCATCCTGAGGGCTGCCCACCATCATTTCCCCTCACGTACCCTCTCCCTCTCTGCTGCCTAGCCTCACCTGCATCAGACCCACTCCTCTAAGACACAAGCCCAGAGTTGTTTTTTTGGTGGGGGGGGGGGGGGGTTTGCTATAGGGTACATGTGCTCACGGGAGAGACAGAGAAAGACACAGAGACAAAAAGCAAGAGATCACCCCCAGGGAGAATGGCAATCCCTTCTTCTCCATTCTCCTCTTGGAATTCTGGGCACGCGCGCACACATGCTGAGCATGAGTTTCAAGCCGAGTCTGGGACTCGAACCACACTCAACCAAGTGGGAGTCTAGTGCCTTAACCACCACGCCACCTAACATGGTGAGGTTGGATCAGCGGGCAGCAAGGAAGCTAAGGAGACTGGACCCCACATGGCTGAGTCTGCAGTGCGAGTCCTGGACGCAGCGATCAGAACCCACGACTAGCACATGTTCTGAGAGAGCACAGCAGAGGGGACTGCAGCATGGCTGCCTCCAGGAGAGATGGCTTCTCATCTCCCTCTTTCTCTGTCTCTCTCTGAAAAATCCATGTGTCCTACAGAGAATTTTTTTTTTTTTTAATGAAGTCAGGACCAGCAGATAGCATAATGGTTACATCGCTGGATTCCCACATGGCCAACCACGGTTCGAGTCTCGGACCCAGCAGCTTGAAACTCACGCTGGATGTGTGTGTGTGTGTGTGTGTGTTTGTGTGTGTGTGTGTGTGTGCCAAAAAATCCCGAAAGGAGACTGGAGGACAAGGAACTGAGGCTTGATCACCCCCCGTCAGGGAGTGGGAAGGATTTCTTGCTTTTTGTCTCTCTGTCTTTGTCTCTCTGGTAAGCACATACGCCCATAGCAAATCTCTCTCTACAAAAGATTTAAAAACTCTCAAAAGAAAAAAAACAAAGGCAGCGCAACTCGAAGTAGGTGGAGCTGACTGCCGCACCCTGAGACTGCACTCTGTCGAGCACTACAAACGCAGGGCAAGGGCACCGCCTGAGATGCACTCCTTTTTTTAAATTTGCTACGTCCCATACATGCTCACCAGAGAGACACGCAGAGAGGAGAAGTGGGAAAGTAAACCACCAGGTCCAGGGTTTCAACCACGGTTGGCCATGTGGGAGTCTAGCACCTTAGCCACCACACCACCTGCCAGCCCCGAGACTCATTCTTTATCTAGAAAAAACTCAGCTTTCAGACAAAAGCCTATCTCCCCTTAAAGTCCTGGTGCTGTGTCTGGCAAATGAAAACAGACTATGACAGAAAGAGCCACATGCATCAAAGAAAGGTATCAAGAAAGAAATGTTATCATTCTGGGTTCAACATTCACGAAATCATCCTTGCTGCATCTCTCTACGTTTGCTCCAAATTAAAGTCAACAAGAATTTTAAAAATGTGTATTTCCTTGCAGATCATTGTAAAATCTTTCAACTCCTTAAAAAGATTCAAGTCTGAGTGTTTCTGCCCTGACAGAATTAAGTATCCGCCTCCTCTGAGCGCACACTCAGAACCATCACGCTGTGGGACACCTGGCGGTTTAAGGCCCGCAGAAGGGTCCCCCAAGGGTGCTCACAGACACGTCCAAAGTGTCAGAGATCATGGACACACACGTGCGTCCTCTCGCTCTTTCATACCAACTCAGGCCAAGTACGTTTTGGAAACAGTGAGTTAAGAGTTAAAAATCTTCAATACGCTAGTGTGAATCACTTCAACAGGAACGCAGACAGACCAAGGGTTTTCAAAGTCCGGTTCCAGCAGAACCAGCACCACCAGCACCTCGGGTTGTTGGAGATGCGAACCCTCTGCAGACCTCAAACCAGCGGCAGGCAAAGTAAAACCGACCGACTGTTCCCTGGTAGGGGCCCGCCAGATGGCTCAAGTTGGAGAATCCGTGCAATACATGTTTTCTCAAATTTCTTTGATCCTTTTTATTCCAGAAGCTGTTATCGAAGGGCCTTCAGGGCACTCTTTAAGAAATGAGGAAAAAATTTATAATTTTACTTATTTACAAGCTCATTCACTCATTTAACAAACATTTACCAACTACCCTAACTCTGTGGTAGCACTGGGCTATACCCCGGAAAGAAAACGAAGAAATTAACCAGAAAATGAGGAGACTAGTCAGGACAGTTCTACACCGCAGTCCCACTGCTAGTTTAAGCTGAACTAGTAACCGTGTCCTCATTCCGACTCCTGACTCACAGCTCACACCACTTACGGAGTACTCAAAACTCAACCTTTTGTTTCTTTATTGGAGGGAGAAGTGAAAGGTAATAAATCCTGTCCTCTTAAACATTTCATTTCTATTTTTTTTTCCTTTTTTTGAAGAGGTTTTTGCTATAGGGCGTGTATACTCGCCAGACAGACAGAGAAAGAGACAAAAAGCGAGAAATCTCCCTCTGGGGGATGGTCACGCCACAATCCTCCTCCTCCACTGTCCCCTAAGGACTTGGAGAACGTATGTACATGCGCCTGGCGTGAGTTTTAAGCCACCAGGTCCAGGATCCGATCTGCGGTCGACTACACGGGAGTCTAGCGACACAGACATCAGGCCCTCTGTGATCGGAGTCCGTCACGCACTCTGCCCGGAAAGCCAGGCCTCGCGCCCGTGGGGTGCTCGCTGCTGCCTCGCTTCTCCACTTCTGCCCAGCACTCCTCTCGCACGGGCCAGCAACACCCCACGCCGTCTGAGACCGTCTCTGCTCTCACTCCGACCGCGCCCTCCTCTAAGTGCCCACGCCTGGCCTCGGCGCTCCTCTGTCCCGGCACTCTGCCGAACTCTATGGGAGTGCCTTGAGAATCTGTATGAAGCACGCTGTCCAACAACAGAAGTTCTGCATCTCCCATAATGCTCGCAAGGTCTCCACGAGGCCTGCACATTCGCTAGGCAGGTCGAGACTTCATGAGAGACAGATGCTTTTGAAAAGCCGTACTACATGCCTACACCTTAAGCTAGAATGGTGTCTCAAACCAACGTGCTGACCCTTTTCATCTCCAGAGGGCGCACGTGTAGTCACCAGAGAGACTGAGCAAGCGAGCGCCCCACAAGGGCCACACCACAGCTTTTCCTCTGCTTCTCCATTTCATCGGGATTCAGGCACGCACGCACACATGCCTCACACGTCCCGTCGAGGGGCCAGGGCTGGGATTCTGACCGTGGTTGGCCACGCAGGGCCGGGATCCCCGTGCACAGTGCTCACGGCCAAGCTGCAGCTGCACCTGCGTGTAGTCCTTCCCACTGCCGCTTGCCCTCCCGCCGGCGCCAAGTCCTCTTCTCTCACAAATATCGCCACACTTACCTCGAACAAGCGTAAGTCGGCAGGAACTCTGTCCCCCACAGACAGGCACACCGTGTCGCCTGGAACCAAGTCTCGGGCAAGCGTGTGTTCCAGTTTCCCCTCACGCACACTGCAGCAGGAAGCAGAGACAGCTAGTCAGAAAAGGAAGCTGTGCGGCTTCGTCGAGAGCAAATTACATTGCTATATTCCTGCCAGTCCTGCCTGCCAGGGAAAATGTATTACTAACACCATTTCCAAAGAGCAGGTGAAAGATGAGAACCAAGAAAGGACTGCTGCTGTGCTCTTAATTCAGATGCTCCGATGACAGGAGACCACTGGAAAACTGACAGTTCCAATGTAAACCTGAAGCAACCTTCTGAACCACCTGGGTCCGCCCAAATACCAGTACACTCAGAAAAGTGCTTCGCACCTACTGACACACTCAGAAGTATCTGTTAAATAAAATCCCTATCGCAAGAATCTCAAACTGAGAACTGAAATTTTAATAGTAGTTTTTGCTACATTCATCACAGCAAGAAGTTCTCATGTCGGATTAATAGTTTCTTCTTCCTCGTTTAGACAAAACCATGGCCACAGTTTACGGACTAGTCACATTCAACTTCTGTTATTAAAGGGCTAGAAATGCATATCACAAAAAGGGTCGTACCAGTGGCATTCTGGTGGCACAAGTTTACTCAGCTCTTCAAGAGACTTTTCTGAACGATATTCCTATTTTAAAGAAAAAAGGAAAGAAATGTAAATACGTATGTTCGAAGAACACACTATTTAGATTTAAGTAGTAATCCCAAGCATTACTTTTCTTCCAATTCTTTTGTTCTTTTACTTGTACTTAATTTCCTACTTATAACAACTTGCCCCTTACTTAAAAATGGTTTTGATAATTAAGTACTCCCAACTTCACATTGCAATGTTCGATTTGCAAACGTAAGGTTAAGTTATTTAGAAGAAAACGAAAACTGAATACTGTTCCAAAGCGTGTATGATTTGTGTCACTGAAGATAAAGCACTGAGCCTCGTAATCAAGGTAACTTTATTATGCACAATGACAGCAAAGGAAAGACAATGGGCTACAGCGACGTGGGCGTTGAGCACGGAAACCCACGCTCACTCCCGTGGAGTACTACGTGGATCTCCCTAGGAGGAGTCCAAGGTAAACAAGGAGATGTGGATGTGCCTAACCCTTGGAGAGGGAACCCCCAGAAGTCCTACCCTGACAGTCCCGTCTTCCGCCATCCACACGCCAGCAGGGGAAGCGGCAGGGAAGCACCCCCAGCTCCCTACGCTGAGCAGCCTGCTCTGCGCAGCATGGCCAGCGCGTCTGCACTGAGCACGGCCCCCTTCTGAGACGGGTCACGGGGAGAGGGGAGCGACCCGGAGCAGAGTCAAGCTTGCTCTGAAATGACAGCAGCGCCAGTACTAGTCAGATGTCACCCCGTCACAAGTGTCTTCAGGCACAAAACACAAGCAATACATATGAGAGTCACTTTCAACGCCTGAACCAGTCTGTCGTTAAGAAAGCGGGACAGATGTAAGGAGAAACCAAGTACAAAAGTTACAGGACATGGCTCCCAAAAAACACCAAGAAAACCAAGGAGTTTCTAGCCTTACCCCAAACTCCATAAAACAATCTTTGCAGAAAATGCTCACTAATCCTAGCTGGCAATGGTAAACGGCAGACACTGCCCCGTCTCTCCCACCTCGTCTCGGTCCTGAGACTGCACTTTAACATCGTCGAGAGGCCCCTTTCGCCAAAGTGCCACCGGGTACACCACGTGCCAGCCATCCCTAAAGCATCCGGCAGGTGGTCATCGCCGCCTGACTGCACAGACCACGGGCAGTCCCCAGCCTGGGAAGCAGAGTGACGGCAGGGAATGGAGGTCAGAGAGGAGCGAGGGGAAAGCCAAGTACAAGTGTAAAGACACAGAAAGCAACTCTTCTACACACGGAGAGAGCACGGGCACATCAGAGCACAGCACACTCCCTACACACGGAGAGAGCACGGGCACATCAGAGCACAGCACACTCCCTACACACGGAGAGAGCACGGGCACATCAGAGCACAGGACACTCCCCTACACGGAGAGAGCACGGGCACATCAGAGCACAGGACACTCCCTACACACGGATAGAGCACGGACACATCAGAGCACAGGACACTCCCCTACACACGGAGAGAGCACGGACACATCAGAGCACAGGACACTCCCCTACACACAGAGAGAGCACGGGCACATCAGAGCACAGGACACTCCCCTACATTAGATAGACCACATTTACACATAACGATCAAGGGTTAGGAAACGAGGGTATATTTTTGATAAAGAATTTCCTGGACAAGTACTGTGGTAAGTTCACCTGACAGTAAGCGTGATCTTTAGAAGGCTTGACCTGCTGCTCGTAGAGTGCTTTGTGGGTTCCATGGCACACGTGGGGAAAGGAGTCGCACGTATGTAGGAACCAGACCTGGCAGTCTGGAACCGGCTTTTCATAATGTTTTAAATTTTCCATCCAATGAACCTGTCATGAAGATACTTGGCAGCTGGTCTCAGACGTAGCATTACAGTAACTGACACCAGTGTGCGTGGAGTGCCATTCACTAATGTGGAGATCGTACTCCTGTCGTAGGGGTCCTGATGACAGGGCCGTGTGTCCCAGAAGGAACGAACTACTGAGGTCTTACGTGCGAGGGGACGGCGCCTGTGGGACTCCTCCTGGAAGGGGCACTCTATACATCTGACACATGAAGACGCAAGGGGGTGGGCCGGCAGGTGGCATAGTGGTTAGGGCACTGGAGTCCCACACAGCCGACCTCACTTCCAGTCCCGGGCAGGCGTGTGTGCATGAGTGCCCAGTATCCCAAGAGGAGTACAGAGAAGGGACTGCAGTGTGGCCAAATCCCAGGGGAAGGTCTCTCACTTTCGGTGTCTCTCAAGCGAACGCATGCACCCTAAAACAAGCGAACAAAAGATGCAAGGGGGTGCAGCTGCCGATCAGGCCCGGACAGGGTGGGACGGACACCTGCCGTGAGCGATGCCCCATCTGGAACTACAGTCTAGGCTCACCTGCGTGAGGTCGACATTTGGCTATTTTAAGAAAGATGATTATGTTCGCAATCGAAGGACCCTGATGATCTACGAATGGAGCTCACACACCTACTACACGTGTCTGATTCCAGCTGGCTCTCCACATTGGGTTCGCATAAACCGGGTAACTTTAACTTAGAGAGTGATATAAAAGGAAGGGGCAGTGGTAAGAAATACTCAGATATGAGATTAACCACAAAAGTATAACATACCGTCTCTTTTAATTCCAAGGGAGAAAGAGGAACGGATGGGGAGAAAGCGAGCGAGCACGCCAGCCGGACCTCAACGCCACCGCCCCTGACCTCACCTCGGCCAGCCCGGATCACGGGCACCCACACGCCCCGACACTCAGGGTGGCCTGCCTCACGGGCGTCAGTTCACCACTGTGTCACTGGACAACCCCTCAAAATGTAACTCTAAGATACAAAACAGCATAAACCTCAAGATCACACCGAAGTACCATATTTTTCCCTAAGTTTTCTGTTCTCATTAGCCAGGCTATCCAAAAATAAGACCTGCTGATATATATTCCAAAACAGTATGAATATTCATAAAAGTTACATACAGTTAAATAAACATGGAACAAAGCCCACAATTTTACTGATTACCTATACTCGTTAATAAAAACCCCAACATTACCTACCCCCATTCATGAAAAAATGTTTCTGGTAGAGGTTTTTGCCTTAAGGCGCATGCACTCACCAGAGACAGAGACAGTGAGAGGGACAGTGAGAGATGCCCCTCCAGGGAGGATGGCCATGCCGCAATCCCTTCTCCTCCCGGGATCTTGGGCACGCACGTACACTCCTGGCTGAGTTTCAAGCCACCAGGTCCAGGACAAGAACCACAGTTGGCCATGAGGGAGTCCAGTGACACCACTCCACCATCTGCTGACCTCAAAGTAATTTTTAAGAATTTTTTTTGTGTGTGCTTTAGTTATTGTTTAATGGATATGCTAAACAGGAAGTTGAACACAGATTTAAACATCTCTTCTGTGAAGGAATAATGAATTTAAATGAAAGGAAGAAGGCGGTTACCAATAGTAATTAGAAATATTTTAATGCCCAAACAATACCCAAATGAAGTAAGTTAGGAAATACCATTCAGTAAACAATACCATTCTGCTAAGGAAATCAATCACAGAGATCTATGAAATTTTCTTCAAATGTTTTCTTTATAAATTAACCTTTTATTTTTATACTTTGTTTCATATAGATTAGTTCTAATAGGTATTAAAACATAATCATATTATAAAACTATAAACCTTTTCCAATTTTTTTTTTTTTTGGAGAGGTTTTGGCTATAGGGTAGCGTGTGCTCGCCAGAAAGACAGAGAGAGACAGAGAGAAAGCGAGAAATCATCCCCCTCCCCGGGAGATGGCCACGCCGCAATCCCTTCTCCATTCTCCTCCCGGGATCTTGGGCACGCACGCACACGCAACCAGCGTGAGTTTAAGCCACCGGGTCCGGGACTCGAATTGCAGTCGACTACATGGGAATCCAGCGACATAGCCATTATGCTAACTGCTGGTCCACCTTTGCCAATTTTTAATCGGAAAGATAAAGTCATTGCTGGATTTTATTTCTATTACTATTTTTTGTTTCCCTTTATTTCTATTCTTCTGAACATCAACAAATATGAAAACAGGATTTTCTTCATCTCAGTACCTAAATCAATGCTCAATGCTTAGTCTCATAAACCTTTCTAAAGAGTTGTCAGTATCTAAATTCTTTTAAAAACTTGTTCTGGGGACCAGAAGTTAGCATAATGGCTATGTTGCTGAACTTCCATGTAGTCGACCATGGTTTGAGTCCCGGACCCGGTGGCTTCAAACTCACACTGGGCGCGTGTGCGTGCGGTGCCCAAGATCCCGAGAGGAGAATAGACGGGATTGCGGCGTGACCATCCCCCTTGGGGGTGATTTTTTGCTTTCTGTCTCTCTGTCGCTCTCTGTCTGGCGAGCGCATATGCCCTATAGCAAAATCTCTAAAAAAAAAACTTGTTCTAGAGCTAGCAGGAGGAACAGTTATTAAGGCACTGGACACCAATGAGGCCAACTGTGGTTCGAGTCCCAGACCTGCCAGTTAGAAACTCACGCCTGATATGTGTGCCTACATATCCAAATCTTAAGAGAAGGATGGAGGAGAAGGGACTGCAGCGTGACCATCCCCCTGGGAGTGATTTCTCACTTTTTCTCTCTTTCTGGCAAGCACACGTACCCTGTAGCAAAAATGTCACTTAAAAAAAAAAAAAGTTCTGAGAGGCATTATTACCCCCAGTAACTACTACAAGCCACTTTAATAATTTTAACCAACTAACATAGCATTTGCATGTTGGCAAAACGGACAACTTACTCACCTGAACAAAGGCAACTGTAACGACGATGAGTATTGCCTAAACGAGACAAAGAAACAATCTTTCAAATTAGACATTAAGATGAGAAATAACTATTTCATTTTTCTATCACCTAACATATTTTATTTAAACACTGAAATCAACTAGAGAAAAAAAAGAATCACAACTTTGTCTTGAGGACTGTGGCGGAAGAAAGGCAGTTTCCAGTGGCTTGCCTTCCCCAGGACAGCTTCTCAATTGTTCTGATCTCAGGATCCCTTTTGTTTATGGGGATGACATCTACAGATATATACTTTTCAATTAGTTTGTCTTAATTTCTACTTATTAATTCAGCTTAAAAAGTGAAAGTCCTTGGAGCTGGCAGGTGGCGTGGAGCTTAGGCAGAGTCCCCGCAGCTGGCCGCAGAGAGAGGGCCGAGTCTGGTGCTTGCTCTTTCTCTGTCTCTCTCCCTCTCTCTGGTGAGCGTACACACCCAACAGCAAACTTAAAAATAAAAATAATAGCAAATAATAAAATTTTAAAATTCTGAAAAAAGGGTATGCACACAAGAGTCAATATTTAATAGGCTTTTAATTTCTTTATCAAGAAACAATGTTTCAGGACCAGCAGTTAGCGTAATGGCTATGTCGATAAGACTCCCATGTAGTCGACCGTGGTTCGTGTCCCGGACCTGGTGGCTTAAACTCATGCTGGGCGTGTGTGTGTGCATGCCCAAGATCCTGAGAGGAGAATGGAGAAGGGATTATGGTGTGGTTATCTCCCCTGGGGGGTGATTTCTTGCTTTCTGTCTCTCCATCTCTCTCACAGGCGCCCTATGGCAAAAACCTCTCCCAAAAAAAGAAAGAAACAATGTTTCTTATTCTTAAAAGAAACAATGATGGAAAATAAATGACTAGAAATACAATTTGGGCCACTCATTTGTAATATGCTCTAACAGCTCTATCCATCACTGCTTCCTGGCTTCCTGGTACTGACGCCAAAGCCCACAGTGGAAGGACTGGGACAGCCTGTCCTCACAGGGGTCTGCGCACGTCTCAGACTCCCGGGAGGAGCGGGAACAGGTCAGGACCTGCAGCTCTGCAGTGGGGTCTGCAGTGTTCTGAAGCAAATCTCACTTGTATGAGCAAGCACCTGAGTTTGCTCCAGATCCACATAGTACTATATATTCAAACATAGGGAACATTATTCAATGGAAGCTAGAATAAACTCGGTAAAAAGTAAAACCACACACGGTGGGTCAGCAGGTGGCATGGTGGTTAAGGTCGACAACATGGCTTGAGTCCCAGACCCAGTGGCTTGAAAGGCATGCCAGGGACATGTGTGTATATGTCTACAATCCAAAAAAGGAGGATGCAGCTGCCCCCAGGGGGTGATTTCTCTCCTCCTCTCTCCCTAGCACGTGTCCAATGGCAAAAATCGACAACAACAAAAAAGTAAATACAGCATGCACCGAATATTCTGAATTTCACATCAAATGGAAAGTAAAACAATCAATTTTTATGAAATTATTACAAATTATAGCATATCTATGAAATTACCAGGTTAAGTAACTCTCACGGGTGCTAATCAGACCTTTTGAATGTTAGTCAAGATTACTTCGACTAAAAGCAGACTCTCTAAATTAGAAAAAGAAACCCACGGGCATTTCTCAATTCGTTTTCCAGAGCAGAAAGCAACCGACACGTGCAGAGCTAGTCAGACAGAGCATGTCAACGCCCTTACCACAGTGATGCTGACGGCGTCGTCGAACTGACGCATCAAAACACTGATGACTGCGGAGGCCAGCAGCAGCATGATCAGGGGGTTCTTAAACTGGGGGTGAGAACACACAGCAATTCAACACCGTCTGTAAGAGAGTTCTTCTCTACTGGGTCACCATAAAGCCACGACGTATTTCTGAGTAGTAAAATACGTCATGACTTTTCCAACACCCCAGTATCTCGGCAAATGCTTAAAAAAATAAAGGGCATGATCAGAAAATTACGAGATTATACATTAGGTCTATTTTATATTAGCTGTTCCACTGACCAAAAACAGTGTTTATCCTTAACTACAGTTAAAAACTTTCTGGGGCCAGCAGGTGGCATGGTGGTTAGGGCCGCTGGATTCCCAGATGGCCAACCCTGGTTAGAGTCCAGGACCTGGAGGCTTAATTTCTCACTTTCCCTTTCTGTCTCTCTCTCTCTGGTCAAATTTAAAAATAACAAATGGAATTAAATAATTAAAAAAAAACTTTCTAAGGAGCTGGCAGGTGGTGTGGTGGTTAAGGACACTGGACTCTAATATGGCCAACCACGGTTCGAGTCCCAGAACTGGCGGCTTGTTTTCGCTCTCTATCACTCTTGCTCTCTCCCTCTCTGGTCAAATTAAAAATAAGTAAATAAAGTTAAATTAAATAATTCTTAAAAAAAAACACTGTTCTAACAACTCCTTTTTAGAAAAAAGAAAATTAAATATTGATATGTAAAACTAAGACTTATCAATTCTTCATAGCACATATTAGTTTAAGTGTACCAATATAGTAATTACAGGTGTTCAGAACTTCTGAGGCTAGAAAAAGTAGAAAATTATTTTTAAGCTAGAGTTGCATGTTAAACACTAGATAGAACACATAATTATGAGGTTCTCATAGCTTCTCAGTGGCCAGCCCAACCCCAGGAGTACTCCCCAGAGACAGCCAGGAGCAGAGACAGCAGGTGCTCTTCACAGAAGAGACGCAAGATTTTCCTCAAAAATGAGAGGTCTTCACAAAGTTCACGGGAAGCTCATATTATGAAAAATCTATGCACAGATTTTTAAAATGTTTGCACCAAAATAAACACATCCATCAATGCTTCTTTTCCATAAACTCTGTGAAGACGCCATACTACCGGTAACACCAACCCACCAACAGCACTCCCACGGCCACGAGAGCTGCCACACCCCAGTGAGACACCCACGATTACACACTAGGACCCAGTGAGACACCCACGATTACATGCTTGGACCCAGTGAGACCCCCACTCTTATACGCTCGGACCTATTAGACACCCGCTCTCACAGCTTGGACCCAGTGAGACACCCGCTCTTACACGCTCGGACCCAGTGAGACCCCCACTCTTACACGCTCGGACCCAGTTAGATACCCGCTCTTACAGCTCAGACCCAGTGAGACACCCGCTCTTACAGCTCGGACCCAGTGAGACACCCGCTCTCACAGCTCGGACCCAGTGAAACACCCGCTCTCACAGCTCAGACCCAGTGAGACACCCGCTCTCACAGCTCGGACCCAGTGAAACACCCGCTCTCACAGCTCAG